CCCCCATCCCAAACCCTTGTAAATATTCCTTGTCTCTAATCCCATCCCACCTAACCCTGTACGTAAACCCCAATATAGATTTAATATTTAGTTCCAGTTCAGTAGTTTTTAAGATAAAATATAAAAATCTGATAAGGGCTCCTTTTTTTCACATCATTTTTAGGAGATTATATAGTTATAAATTAATTATAGATAGATTGTAAGCATATATAAGTTTAGCGTTAGTCTGCAGAAAAACTGCAGGACTTTTATGTATTAGAGAGATAAGCTTAGGAAAATAAGAATTAATGTTAAGCATACAAAATGAATTATTGTTAGATTTAAGTTATTAAATAACTATGTTTAAGGTTTTGATGGAAAAAAATATAAATTGAAATTGAAACGGTTCCCGAGTTATTACAGTGTTAACAGTGTTTGTGTGCATATCTTGTGAAGTGAAAAGAAAAAAGTTAAAGTGGAAAATGGCTCGTACTAAGCAAACTGCCCGTAAATCGACCGGTGGCAAGGCTCCTCGTAAGCAATTGGCCACTAAAGCTGCTTGTAAGAGCGCACCAGCTACCGGCGGTGTTAAGAAGCCTCATCGTTTCCGTCCTGGTACAGTCGCTTTGCGTGAAATCCGTCGTTACCAGAAGAGTACTGAATTGTTGATCCGCAAATTGCCCTTCCAGCGTTTGGTTCGTGAAATTGCTCAAGATTTCAAAACTGATTTGCGTTTCCAGAGCTCTGCTGTTATGGCCTTGCAAGAAGCCAGTGAAGCTTACTTGGTCGGTCTTTTCGAAGATACTAACTTGTGCGCCATCCATGCTAAGCGTGTCACCATCATGCCTAAAGATATCCAATTGGCCAGACGTATTCGTGGAGAACGTGCTTAAATTCTTGACGTTTTAAAAACTCATTTTTTTACAACAAAACAATCGGTCCTTTTCAGGACCACAAAATATATCAAAAAAGAGATTAAATTTTTTACAAATTATTTACTATTATTACAATTTTTTTATGAAATAAAAATATTTTTACGTTGTTTTAATTTATTTTGAGGCTGATAGGAATATATGATTTTTTTTTGTTTTTTAATTTTTTATTTTGAGTAAAGTTTCCAAACATTTATTTTTTCATTTGAAATTATATTTTTTTCGCTTTCCTCTTCTTTTCATTAAAAATGATTTTTCATTCATTTTCTCAACATATTCATAATATGATTTTCTATTTAATTTTTTTTCATTTTAATTTTGATTTCGTTAGAAATTAATTTTTTATTTGTAATTCTAGTTAAAATTTGAATTATTCAGATTAGTTTTTTAATTTTTTTTCTTTGTTACTATTTAAAATTTTTCGTTTGAATTTTCACATGATGAAATTTTTTTCACATTGTTTAATTGTTTTCTATTCACATTTTTCGTAATTGGCGGGAAAATGCTTCCCTCCATTTTTCCCCTTCCAAAAAAAATTCTCTTATGTATAAATGCAATATGTTATTTTTGGCGCGAAAAAAATTTCCCCTCAATATTTTTTTGTTTACAGCAAACATCCCCATGAATGAAGAATGAAATATGCATGTTTTTTTCTTTTCCAGCTAATTTTCTACCACGTAAAAAAAATTCTATCTAATTTTATATTTGTCTCTGTCTATTCCAATGAAAAATTTGGTGGGAAATATTTTGTGATTTCTAAAGGCAGAATTTCTCTATTAAAAAACTATTTGTTTTTTAAGAAAATTATAAATAAATTAGTATTTTTTAGTAAAATAATTATTAAAATTTGATATTTTGACTAAAAGTTAATAGAAAATAGTAAATTCTTAATAATCAATAGGAATAAAATATTTTTGTAACGTTCGAAAAATTCCATGAAATTTCTTTGTACTCTGCTCTGCCATGAAAGGTAATAGTAAAAACGAAATTATTTTTAATATACATTTTTTTGCAAAAATTTGACAAAATTATATTGAAAATTAATAAATAGCTGATTTATAAATTATTTTAGAATATTTTTAAATTAAAATGAATTTATTTTTTCCAAAATATGTTATTTTGAAAAAATATTGCCGTTTGTTGATGAATGTTCGTCCATTGGTAGTATATGATATTGTAAGGTATTGTAAGGAATTTGTAACTTTTCCAATCAATTAATGAATTTTTATTAATAATGTTTTATTTTGGTGTAAATATACAAATTCTGAAGTGTTTTTTTAAGAAATTTTTATAAAAGTTAATTTGATTTGAGCTTTCAAATTAATTTGTAGAAAAAGTTTTCTTCATTGAAATTATGCCAACAGGAGGATTTCTGCTGTCATAGACCACATAATAAATTTAATTTTTTTGTTGCGGGAGATCCATCTACACCGACAGCCATATCGCCAAAATCTATCACACCAACAAACATCCCCCTGTTGGTGCCCCAAATGCACACGATTGCCTTACTCCATTTCGGAATTAGCATAGAATGGGGGGGGGGGGGGTATCCAAAACATTATGGACTCAAGTCATTCCACTCATCATCAAGAAAGACCTGAAAATAAAAGAAAAATTAAAATAAAATAATTAATCCGATGGCATATCAATATACTGGACCGTCTATTGTGAATTAACAACATTCCTACAGAAAATATGTTCACAGACATATGTCCCATATTTCCACTAATTATAATAGTGTTGGCACTCGATGAACACTTACCATCTATGTGATGTCCGGGTGTGTCATCAGCATCCTCGCATTTTTTATTTATTAAAATTATACCACATTTTGTGGATATTTTTTAATCGGACAATAAAATTAGACAGCAGCACCGAAATTCATGTGTTTGGTTTGTTTGTTCAATGTCAGCTGTCAGAGAACAGTTGTCAATAGGGTGTCATAAGCCACCGTACTAAAAAGTGCAGGGTTACCAAAATCAAAAATGTTCCATCCCTGAACGTGACGCGTGAGAGCAAAACTTATACGCCATGTTTCAAATTTGAAAAGAATTACAATAATAAAATAAATACTGAGAAAATACGGTATTAATGTATAAAAATCTTGGAAAATGGTTGCAGAGGGAAAATGCTCATATAAAAAGAGACACTGCATGGGAAATAGCCATTAGTGTTTGAAAGATTTTTTTTGAAAGACAACGAACTAATACACCGTTGTAACTTTGGCAAAAATAGAAAAATAAAAAGAAAAGACTTTGTGAAACGAAAGTTGTGAAGAAATAATCCTTATATTAAAAGAGGAAATTAAATAAAATCTTATGTGAGTGCAAAGACTTTAAGCTTGATTTTTTTTTACAACGCGAGTGACATAAATTTGAATTTTTTTCACTCTGTAGGCAAACCGATACCCAATTGGTGCTAGTTGTAGGAAGCGTATAGCCTCGTAAAATTTTGGAGAAAAACGAAACATTAAACCAAAATATTAAAGAAAGAATATAAAAACATCTGCAATAAAGCTGCTGAGCGTAAATCGCGTCGTTTACGCCAGACTAATACGCTACACAGCTAGCTCGAGTGGCAACGATTACGTAAGCTGTGAACCCTAACTTGCCGGGTACTAACCAGCTGCTGAAAAAAGGCAACTCTGAGGTCGTCATCCGATGGTGAGAAAGATAGCATTTTGTCGAGTTTCCCCTGCGGCCTTATCTGTGCTACGGAAATAAGGGGTATATCGTGAGTTGGCAAAAAACTGTTATAACGTTGTAAAATAATTCATAGATACAGAAATCTGGTCGAAATACCTTTCATTGAACTGCCAAAAGAAAAGATCAAACACTAAAAGATTTCATAATTTATTCGATATCCTTTTTTTTGAGACGGAAAAAATAATTTGATTTATATTTTTATATTATTTCCTAATCTTAGTGCTAAGTATTTAATTATTTAGTTCTTATTTTTATTATTAACTTTTTTTAAATTAATTTTTGAACTTAGACTTAGTATTGACCATTGTAAGGGACTTTAGATACAGATAGTGATAGGGGTCATAATTGATTGAATTTTGTGCGAGACGAGAATGGTCTCAGGAAGATTAACCACTTAATTGAGCTCGATTAGGTAGGCGAACGTAAGAAAAGTTAGATTCAAAATTTATACTCGATAACAAAACCCCCCAGCTAAAGTATTTTTGTCCTATAGATTTTGTGAGGTGAATAATTTTTGTTTAGTAACGAAATTTCGATTTTTATTTAATAATTTGTTTTTATGTAGTAGACTAAATTATCTTTTTTTTAATAAACATTATGTGAGTCTCTGTAAGAGCAATGAACATGGAATAGTTTTAACTTCATGGAAGGAGTGATCATGTGAAGGAATGGTAAGGATAAGGGAGTTAATGGGGTCCACCTGGATGAATATTGGAAGAAGTGGACCAAGGTTGGGTGGGCTGAGTGGGTGTTCTGAACACCAAGGAACCCTATAAACCTCCTGGAATGTTCTTCTTGTGTACTTGTTTATTTGTTTTTTTTTTTTGTTGTCCTAAAGAAGATTATAAAAAAATGTGATGTTAGACCATGCGTTGGTTTTGGCGGTTGAGGACCTCTCTGAGTTCCGAAGAGCTGTCGGATGGCCAAACCGACGGGTACAAGAGGTCATAACATTTTCTCACATAGAAAATGTAAAATTGGTCAATATTTTTTATTTATCCTAAAGTAAACATATCAGGCTATATTATCAAAAAGAAATTTTATGAAAATTTTCAAAATTTTTTGGATTTTTTTCAAATTTAGTTAGAAATTTGTGATTTCAAATTCATAATCTTTGAAGTTAAACGTCTATAACTCGCTAACGGCTATGATAATTACATGAACTATTTTGTAAAATGAAGCCTGAAATCTATACTTTCGAAATGTAAAATATCTTTTTCGAAAATTTTCTAAGCTTCCTCGCAAAAATTTTATTTCTCCGAAAACTTTTGTAAAAAAATTAACACGCTTCCACACAATAATTCGAAAAATATACCAATTGACTACTATGCACTTCTCATCTTTTCGATGTACCTATGTTATACTGCTTCGACCAATAACAAAATAGTAGTACACATAAATTTGTGAGTGTATTTGTGTTAACAGTGAAATATAAAACAGTGAATATAAACATGTCTGACGCCGCCGTTGCTGAAACCACCGCCTCCCCAGTTGCCGCTGTTGAGAAAAAGGCACCAAAGAAGGCCGCTGCCAAAGCAAAGAAACCATCAGCCGCTCCAACTCATCCACCAACCCAGCAAATGGTAGATGCTGCCATCAAAACTTTGAAGGAACGTGGAGGTTCTTCATTGCCAGCCATCAAGAAATATTTGGCCAGCACCTACAAAGTAGATGCCCAAAAATTGGCCCCCTTCATCAAGAAGTACTTGAAGAGTGCTGTTGCCAGTGGAAAATTGATCCAAACTAAAGGTAAGGGTGCTTCCGGTTCATTCAAATTGTCCGCTTCGGCTTCCAAGGAACCCAAAGCAAAGACTGCTGAAAAGAAAAAGAAGGCTCCCGCCGCTGGTGAAAAGAAAAAGAAGGTCGCCCCTAAAAAGGCAGCCGGCGAAAAGAAGACAGCTGCCAAAAAACCATCTGCCGCCAAAAAGACCGCTGAAAAGAAGAAGGCTGACAAAACAAAGGCCAAGGCTGCCAAGAAAACCGGTACAGTTAAGGCAAAACCCGCAAAGACCGCCGCTAAAGCATCTGCCACTAAACCAAAGGCACCCAAGGCAAAAACAGCCGCTGCTAAGCCCAAAAAAGCCGCAGCACCAAAGAAGCCAGCTGCCAAGAAAGCCGCCGCCAAGAAGTAATTTTTTCCACAAAAAAAGAAAAGAAGGTCGCCCCTAAAAAGGCAGCCGGCGAAAAGAAGACAGCTGCCAAAAAACCATCTGCCGCCAAAAAGACCGCTGAAAAGAAGAAGGCTGACAAAACAAAGGCCAAGGCTGCCAAGAAAACCGGTACAGTTAAGGCAAAACCCGCAAAGACCGCCGCTAAAGCATCTGCCACTAAACCAAAGGCACCCAAGGCAAAAACAGCCGCTGCTAAGCCCAAAAAAGCCGCAGCACCAAAGAAGCCAGCTGCCAAGAAAGCCGCCGCCAAGAAGTAATTTTTTCCACAAAAATTACTTTGTCAAGAATTTTTTCGATATTCGAAAACATAATATCTAACAGCCCTTTTCAGGGCTACAAATTAAATTTCAAAAGAGACAAAATATTTATTTCATACTATAAACAAATTACTTTTATTATTTTTACTACTACCTAAATAAATGAGAAAATCCACATGTGTTTTAATTTTAGGAGAAAAAAAAGATTTTGCTAATTAGAGTATTAGGTAAAAGTGTGCCTGTTTATTTATGGACATTCCACAAAATGACGCCACAAATGGATTATTTTTTTAATCCAGGTCATAAACTTTTATAATTTGCAATTACCTAATGGTAAACATATTTTAATATTTTCTGCTTAATTTTAGAATTTCGTAAATTTTCTTCAACATTTCTAATCGCCCCTTTAAAATTATGTATTTTAATATTTTTTCTTTTTTTATTAAATTATTGAATTTTTACAATTTTCTTTAAAAATACTAATTGTAATATTTTTCTTTGGAAAATATGCCACCACTAATTTTTTCCGGCCAAAAATCTCCCTACTTCATATTTTCCATTTGCCTTTGCCCACATACATCTTGTCCATTCACAACTGCGTCCGTTACCGCCTTGGTACCTTTAATGACAGCGTACTTAGCCAATTCACCGGGCAACAATAGACGAACGGCAGTTTGGATATCCCGACTGGTGATGGTCGAGCTCGTGTTGTAGTGAGCCAAACGGGAGGCTTCGGCGGCAATACGTTCGAAGATATCATTCACAATAGTGTTCATGATGATCATGGCCTTTGAGGAAATACCAATATCGGGATGGACTTGCTTCAACACTTCGTAAATGTAGATAGCGTAATTCTCCTTACGCTTGGTACGTCTCTTCGATTTATCGCCCTTGGTGATGTTCTTTTGGGCTTTGCCGGCCTTCTTTGCTGCTTCACCACTGGTTTTAGGAGGCATTTTTCACTTTAGTTGTTTTTTAATCACAGAAACACTTTTAACACTGTTCACAGAATAAAAATACAAGGGCAGCCAACTACATATTTGTAGATTAAAATGTTCAACAATTTCAGGTAGTCACAGCTGCTATGTATAATACATAGCTACACACCCCTAAGTATAGTAATGTGTGTGCGAGAAAAGTATAAATACTACGGGTAGTCGTTGAAATTTTTATCATTCTGTATTTTTCAGTGCTCAGTGAAGTGTTTAAAAACCAAACCAATATTATTTCATTAGTTAATTTATTAAAAATAAAAAAATCCAAAAAATATAAATTTTTCTCCTTACAGCGTTACATTTGTCTTTTATGAGACGACATATATTTATTGCAGTCACATTTGAGTTTGCTTAAAATTTGTTGTTGTTTGCCGTTATAATTCGAGGTATTTTGAAGAAGAAGAAGCATGTTTGTGTTATGTTGTTTTTGCAAGGAGACATTTAAAACGAAGAAGAAGAATACAGTTATTCCTGTTGATCAGTAGTACAGCTGGCTTGTATGACTCACAAAAAATAATCACCAAACACAAACACTCACACACATACTAATTTAATGGGAAAGAAACGCCTAGCACTTTTTATTTTTGGGAAAGAAAAAAGAGGGAATTTGAAGGAATTTTTTGCGTTGGAAAGGCAGTTGTAGCTGAAATAAAATGATGGAACAAAGAAAATAAAATGAAAATTTGTAGGAGTTTGAAGCAAAAATGGAATTGAGAAATATTTTAATAAAATTAGAGAAATTATGAAAAAAAAAAATATTGAAATAAAAAATGAAAAATTATGAAATTTATACGGACATTTAATGAAATTTTTGGAATAATTTTAGAAGATAGAAATCGATTTTATGAGTTATTTTTGAAAAAATAAAATGAAATAAATAATAAATTAAACAATCTTCAATAAAAATTGACATTTTAAAAGAAAAATTAAAACATATTGGATTTTTTGGAAAATAAATTTAAATTTGTTTAGAAAAAATTATGTTATTAAATCGAAAAAATTAAGAATTTTTTACATTTAAAGAATTTTTTAGAATTTTCAATATATACATTTTTTAATTTTATTTAATAAATTTTTAAATTTATTTTTATATTTATGACTACTTTTTTAATTAAAATTATTATTTTTGTAATGTTCCACTCAATATGAACATCGTACTCACATCGTTGTTTGGTTCGTTGTTTAGTATCATGGACTAACAAAATACTACCACATGCTTAGATAAAGTGACGCTATGGTATACACACATAATATAAGCAAGCAAGCATATGAACAAACAAGCAACGGCATTTAGAAATGCGAGTTGACGGCGGCATTTTTATATGGAAATATGTTCGAAGGAAGAAAAATTTTGTTTTTTGATAGTAAAATTTTAATTGAATAAAAAAAATAAATAAAATAAAAATAAAAATTTTTCGATTTATTAAAAAATTAAACAAATTTTTTACGAATATTTTCAAAAATAAACAAAAAAAAAAAAATTGAATTCATTAAAAATAATTTTAATTTTTTTTATGAATTTTCTTGAAATGAGAACGTATTGATTTTTTTATTTTTGAAATTTAAAACACTGATGTGAATAGTCATGGCATTGCTTGTTGTTCTTTAACGTACGTATGTACTAATACATGTATAGGGTATGTGTAGTTATGGTATACACACATAATATGAGTAACCAAAGGCATGTAGTAATGAGTATTGCCGACGGCAATTTTACATTATGCGGAAATATTTGAATCAAAAAAGTATGATTTTGGAAAGAAATGTGGTATGAAAGTATAGAAAGTATAGAAAGTATCTCTTTTTTAATATTTTTTGTGGTCCTGAAAAGGACCGATTGGTTTGTTGTAAAATAAGAAGATTTCTCCAAATAGCGTCAAGAAAATATTTAACCGCCGAAACCGTACAATGTACGACCTTGTCTCTTCAAAGCGTAGACGACATCCATAGCAGTGACGGTTTTACGCTTAGCGTGTTCGGTGTAGGTGACAGCATCACGAATAACGTTTTCCAGGAACACTTTCAGAACACCACGAGTTTCTTCGTAATTCAATCCAGAAATACGTTTTACACCACCACGACGAGCCAAACGTCTAATAGCTGGCTTGGTAATGCCCTGGATATTATCACGTAACACTTTCCGATGACGTTTAGCGCCACCTTTTCCCAAGCCTTTTCCACCTTTACCACGACCAGTCATTTTTCACTTTTTTTTTAAATTCACGTTATCACTTCACGAATGCACAAGAACGAATGTTTTTTCTTTTGGAGCCAGCTTGTATTTATACAAAAATTTCCCTGATCGTCAACCACTTCGACTTAGTTCGTGTTGCTTGTGCTATAGTCGTTTATGTATATGTGTGCGTGTGTGTGCCCATTTAGTAGACATACATTTGTATTTACTAACACTCACCCTTAATCGGTGATGCTAGCACACAATTTTTCTATAAATACTCGGTTAGGTGGCTGTTCCCGAGTTATTACAGTGTTAACAGTGTTTGTGTGCATATCTTGTGAAGTGAAAAGAAAAAAATTAAAGTGAAAAATGGCTCGTACTAAGCAAACTGCCCGTAAATCGACCGGTGGCAAGGGTCCTCGTAAGCAATTGGCCACTAAAGCTGCTCGTAAGAGCGCACCAGCTACCGGCGGTGTTAAGAAGCCTCATCGTTTCCGTCCTGGTACAGTCGCTTTGCGTGAAATCCGTCGTTACCAGAAGAGTACTGAATTGTTGATCCGCAAATTGCCCTTCCAGCGTTTGGTTCGTGAAATTGCTCAAGATTTCAAAACTGATTTGCGTTTCCAGAGGCCTTGCAAGAAGCCAGTGAAGCCTACTTGGTCGGTCTTTTCGAAGATACTAACTTGTGCGCCATCCATGCTAAGCGTGTCACCATCATGCCTAAAGATATCCAATTGGCCAGACGTATTCGTGGAGAACGTGCTTAAATTCTTGACGTTTTAAAAACTCATTTTTCCATCCCTGAACGTGACGCGTGAGCAGTGTTCGCAAAAAAACGGTACACTATCGTAGTGTACCGTACCAGGAACACAAACACTAAACAAAATTTAGCGTTTGTGTTCCGGTACACAAACATTAAAAAATATTTTAGTGTTACTGTTCCGGAGCACAACGAAATTCGTAGTGTACCGCTGTCGGAGCACTAAAAATCGTAGTGTAAAGCGGTCGGAGGACTAAAAATCGTAGTGTACCGCGGTCGGAACACTAAAAAATCGTAGCGTACCGCGGTCGGAACACTAAAAATCGTAGTGTTCCACTGGCCGGAACACTAAAAATCGTAGTGTTCCACTGGCCGGAACACTAAAAACCGTAGTGTTCCATTTGGCGGAACACTAAAAATCGTAGTGTTCCACTTGACGGAACACTTAAAATCGTAGGGTTCCATTTGTCGGAACACAAAAAGATGTATTTGTTATATTTTATTTTTTTATGAATAAAATTTATATTTTTATTGTTTTTCAATAGATTTAATAAATATAAAACTTTTTTATTTTTTTATATATATTTTATTAAAAATTAGTAATATTTTATTAGCATCAACCGTTTAACATAATAAATATTTTATAAATAAAAAAGGTCGTCTAGTGAAAATTCAATCTGATGCCAAATCGCAACTGAAAATTCCATTGGATTACATTTTGGCTGATAATCGATTGCGCTGATCGGAAAAATGTATTGCATAAGACTACCTGTGCAAAAATCATAAAAAGGAAGAATATTCCAATAATGGATATGTATATGAAATTCGTTTTTGATATGGTACCTGTGTGTGGTTTTGTAATATTTATCCCAAAATCATAAAAATATGTTTTTCATATCCGCGTGATTTGTACACTTCTTTTAATGAATAAGCAGGTAATTATTATGTTGATTATGTGAAAATCACCAAATTTTGAATATTTTTGCTAAAATTTCCTAAAAGTATGAATCATAGATGGATGCAGATATATTTGTTTTAAGAAATAATGTTTTCGTACTAACATTTTACAAGGAGATCTCCCAATATTATGGGAAAAATCATGTTCATTGTGTAAATTAATGAACATTTTATCCACAGCTGTA